TATTTTTTTTTGTACATATCAGTAATCAAATATACTACTTTTCAAGATGAGATTGAAATTCAGGATACAACGTTATTCCTTTATTTCTTTATATTTTTCATCTTATATCGATAAAAAAATTTAATTGGTAATAAAATTATTGTTGAGCATTAAAAACAATTGGTATTCACTTTTCAATTCCTTTCAAGTTTTCTGCTGTTTTTTTAATGTTGTATCTTGAATACCTCTTAAATATGTAGCCTTCATAAAATTAATTATATGTGAACATTATTTATGTGATATATTAATATATCTTCTATGCATTATCTAAAACAAGATTATTTATTTTATATGAATCTTTTTTTTATTAAAGATTCTTGATGTAAAAAAAAATTTTTTTTATTAATCTCTAAATATCATCTATGTCATTATTACGCAATTTACTTATTTTCATAGTTATAATTATTTAATATCTTTCATCTCCCTTTTCGTGTTTTTATTCATGCAGCATTAATCCAGTGTGTTTAAAAGTAGTATTTATATGTCAAATACTTAATGAAGAGATATAATCACGCAAATGTGTGTATTAATCAGAATAAGATACAAAGATACAGATACCTTAATTATAAGATAAAATGATATTATTTATGCATTAACAAAATGTTCTACATTTTTATACTGATAATTACAACATTTTATCTTTATTTGATATAAAAAAATTAATAACATTCACTTTTGTAATGTTCCGTATTAATTATATTTGCGTTTTACAGAACTTTGAATAAACGTTTAACGAACGTTTGTCCCTCCATCTCTGCTTGTAAGAGTTTGAAGTACACTTGCTCTATTGCTCTATTGTATATTTATATTGTATCATATACTGTATAACTACATTTAAAATTTCATCCAGTACACATCCCAATGCTGTACTTTTACATCAAAATGTACACGTTTTGTTTTTCTTGTTTACTTTTCATTTATTTTTATTTTATATGTCACGAACCATTATGCATATAAAATTTGTATCCAAATGATTGTGACTGTTGTTCCTTCTAATAATGTTCTAATAATGTTCTGTTATTATAACAACTTGACACTTTCCTCTGCAAAAATCAACGAAAAAGAAAAAAAACAATGTGTCGTTTCATAAATTCAAGAACTGCGTATTAAGAAAGTGTATTTCCATTAAATGATAACACTCTTAAGGAGGTGCTACTATATTATGTAATTAATATTTAGCAATGCATATAGTCCATTTATTTCTGGATTTTGAAATGTCGATAAGTTTTATTGTAAAGCATTTCATTGTTATCATAAAGAAATGTAAATTTTTACAATTCAACGATATAATTTAATTTTTTTTCTAATACATTGAGAGCAGTAAGACATGTCACCATGAGATACTTGTAAGTGATAGTTGAAAAAGCCAATCAAATATTTGTATTATAATGATTAATGCATATACATATATATATTATTAAAAAAAAGAAAGAACTAATGTTCTTCTGTAATTTTTTTATTTTACACTTATGGCTTGTAAAGATCTTCACTTAAATTCAAGAAAAGTGTTTATTTAATTTTAGATAAAAATAATTAAATAACGAAAATAAAACAGATCGAGAGGCATGACCAAAAATATTGCATTTTATTTCGTAAATTTCGTAGACTTTTTACAATTTATGTTTAAAGAAGAGTAAAAAGATGTGAGAGCTTTAAACATTATTCACGTAGTAAACAATTTGTCATTTGCATTATCAATGGCAACATAGCATACATATATATACACACACATTCCAATTTTCATTATATATATTTCTTTTTTAATCTTTTATAAATGAAATTCGACGTGAAAATTATAAGTGACTAGCATGCATCGAACGAATATCTAAAAGTGTGTTCAATTGTAGTGATACGAGTGATTATAGTGAAACATGAATAATACAATTGTTGTCATGATTATATGTTCCAAGCTGTACAATACGGAAAACTGTCACAATCAACCGAGATGATGTTCCCCGTTTTAATTACATGATATGTAAATACAAAACGCATATTATACATAGTAATCGAAATGTAATGATTCATTACGGAAAAGACAGTATGACGACATCCCCCACAGTGTGTGTGTATGAAGATATATTTAAATTCTTCCTTAGGTTGTTCTGCATTAGGGAGAGGATGTCCGAAATCAATTACTATAATCAATTTGAATCATAACAGACTAACAGACATTGTTCGTGCTAACAAAACCAGAATCTAAATTGCGTAAGATGTGTGGCTTAGGAAAACTGTTTAGACTAATTTAATACTATATGTTATATAATAGATATTTCTGTTACTATAAGTAACTAATTAATTAAATAATCGCGAATTATTAAAGTTTTAGATTTCAAACTTACCTTTGTCAAAAAGGTTCTATATAAAAAAAATTGTTAAGTTTTATACGCACTTTTAATTATAGCACGAGTTGTGTCTCTGAGTTAAGTTGTATGTATGTAACAAAAAGATTCTCGACCATAGTCTGTGTAATCACTATAACTTGCTGAATACCCAATTTAGGAAATTAATTGTCGATGTTGCTAGAGTTTTGTAAATATTTATTCGCTTTACATAGAACTGCGATATGGAATTTTTGATTATAATATCTAGTATCTAGAGAGAGAGAGAGAGAGAGAGAGAGAGAGAGAGAGTGTGTGTGTGTGTGTGTGTGTGTGTGTGTGTGTGTGGAGAGA